GTCCAGACGGCTCACCCGGCCACTTGCTTCTTTTCCAGGCGGCCCTTTCTCAAGAGTCTTTAATGGAAAGAGTATATCTTTTATTGATAATTGTAGCGCACCTCGACGGCAAAAGTCATGAAGGCAACTTTAAGATAGAAATGAGTGGAAAGGCCGATTCTCCACAGCTCGCGGCCGCAGTTCAGCAGCACGCGACTCGGCCGGAAGTCGAATGGGTGGCCTATCCCACAGGCGCTTCAATGGGCTGACTAATGAGGTGACCTAATGCTCGTGTACCGATAGCAAAAGAAGTGGCAAGGCTACAACAGACTCTTCAAGTTGCTTTTATAAAAATTGTTCTCATTTACATGCAATATGCTAACTAAAGACAAACGTTTCATACAGGAAAATTAAATAGTAAAAACAGTACACAAACGAGTAATGGCTTATGGATTGCGAAAATATCAATGGTTGCAGTCATGGTTCAACACACACAACAGTCTCATGCACTTAGGTAGATTTAGGCTGCCCCCACTGCCCCACGCACACGTAGTGCATTGATGTGTCGGTCCAAAGGAAGGGGAAGCCACCGCGCAGGCGCACAGCAGCGCACACCAGACAGGACTCTTCCTCGGCGGCGTCGTGCCTGCCGAATAAGATGGAGTGCGCGGATGGGGGCTCGGCGTTGCACACACTACAGAACCCATCAGGCTGCTCCAGGGGCCGCGCGTCGACTTTCACGTGCAGCGACACCGACATCGGGGCGCGGCGCACCAAGTTCGGGAGATCCGAGTGGAGCTCGGATGCTGCGGACGAAGAAGACGGCACAGTTCTGAAGTTCCGAACCGACTCGGAAATAATGAAGCAGGGCACAAACTCGAGCGAGAAACAGAAGGCGACTTACTCGTAAACCCGGGGCTGAGCAGGTAGTCGAAAAGGAGCAGGCTCTCACAGAGGGTGGGGCTGGCGCCGGAGAACAAGTCGTGTAGCAGTCGCTTCCACGCCGGCGCGATAGTCAGGGTCAGCGAGACCAGGCTGGGCAGGGCGGGCAGCGCCGCGGCCAGGGCGCGCAGGCCAGCCTCCTCTAGGACGCGGAGGTTGAGGTGCGTCAGGCTAGCCAGGGCGCCCGCGCCCAAGGCCCGCACCAGCGTCACCTCCTCCTCGCGGCAGCCCATGCACGACGGCAGCGTCAGCTTGAGCAGCGGCCCGTGCCAGGTCCTCAACGCGTCCGCTATCTGAGGACAAAGGGTTGCGGTGAGTTACTTAAAAGAACTTATATAGACGATCGCGAGAAAAAGGCGTCAAGCTGCGTACTTCGGCGGTGTTGGCATTGCAGTATGCGCCGATGAACGTCAGCTCCTGCAGCTCGCGAAGCCGCCGGAGCTTCGGGGCCATCCCTGGCGCAGCGGAGACAGTCAGCCGCTGGAGGCTCGCTGGGCAGGAGTCCAGCAGCGGCATCACAGCCGGCGAGACCAGCTGTACGCAGCGCAGCTCACTGCAAGCACAGGCATGACAACCACCGGCGAGCTTCGGTATGGCTTGCGCCTGGACAAGCGGACTCACCTATGAGCTCCCAAGAGCAGTGCCTGCAAGCAAGAGGGCTCCTGGCCAGCCTGAGAGTATTCGTATGATGAAATCCACAAGTCTGGGTAATCTTGGTCCCAGAACGTGACCTCAATGGTGTGCAGGCTAGGCAGCGACTGCCAACAGGGAGAAGAGAGCAACGCGATAGAAGGCCGGCCCGTACCTCTACCATTACTGCGACGGCGGTGCGGAGGACCCACGCTTGGTGGGAGTTGCTACCCGAACCACCCCCTCCAAGAGAACCTACCTGCGGCCAGTTTTTGCAGCTGCTAAATCCTGTGAACGGTGCTGCAAAGTTTCTGGGCCACATCCAAGTCAAACTTAAAGTTTCCATAGAGATGGCACTCTGCAAGCTCTCACAAATCAATTCCATATCGGAAGTTTTGCAATTGATACGAGCGTGCTTCGTACGCGGGCCTAGTTCACGGACCACCCTTGCGACCGTGTCGTCCTCGGCCAAGTCCTCAGTGAACACGAACCACAAAGCCAACGTTCTGCAAGTGAAAGAGAACATTAACCTTCCGCACCGGAGGTTTCTCTGCACGTGCGGGTGCATACTGTACTCACAGGGGCCACGGGCCACCCGTGGTGCCTTCGGGGCTGTCAGTAAGTGAAGCAGCCGACTTGACGTGAAGGGGGTGGGAGGGGGGTCGAACCACAAACTCCGGCAACTCCCCCCCCCCAAACACACACATAGCTGTGAATACATGCGTCATATCGGCTGCTTCACTTGAAAAACTCGGGGTGTGTGCAGTGCATGTTTCGCGTGCACAGAAATACCCGGTACAGCAGTGTACGTACATGACTGGTGTCCCGTTGGTCGCCATGAGGGACATCGGGTTGGAGATGAAAAAATCGAGCCTGTCTCGGCTTTGATTATGCGTTAAGCGGGGAGAGGCAACAAGTTCCAAGACGACGTCGTATTGTGGGGTGACCAGCAGGAGGTCCGCGAGCAGGTCTAGTAGTCTGTCGGAGTCTTCCAAGCCGGCAGACTTGTTCCCCCACAACGACCAGTGCCCCCGCGTCAGCGCGCACAGCCGGGTGCAGACCCGCCCGACGGCGACCAGGTCCTCGGCGGGGACATAGGACAACACCTTGAGCAGTGGCAGGTCCGGCAGCGACGTCAGCGTCTGCGTACATCGGGGTGCCACAACAGTTTGAATTTCGACATTGCGACTAAACGTACGGATATGGGGGTGAGGTTTCCGGAGTCGGACATGTTTTGAGGCTCTTGTTAAATATTACCACTTCATCCAGCTGCTCATCATGAGCTGCTCCACTCTCCAAAGTTGAGGACTCGTTCGTACAGGCCCGTTCCTGACGAGGTAACATTTCTGCAGCTTGATCGTGCTCTTAGGATTTTGGGTTGGATAGAAAAAAGAAAAAAAAAAGGAGCTGGCCGTAGCTTTTCTAACCTATAAACAACACAGAGCAACACTTTCGCGACCGTGACTGAGAACCAGTAAGGTATACCTTTACCACAATGAGTTATGTTTTTCACAAAGCTGTAAATACGTACCAGGGTAGATGATATATTTCTATATTATACACTTATAGAGTTATGTTTAGAAAGTGAGAATGAAGGCGTTTTCAGCGTATGCTCGTCAAGTCCGCCCGCTAGCCCAAGCGTTTAGTTTGCGTCTGCTAGAGTGGCATGTTGTGTCCCTGCTTGCGACGGCCGCCACTTGGGGGCACTGCTAATGCCTATTGGATTGCCTACCTCCTGGGTGCGAAACCGTCTCCTATGTCACCAAAGTTCTACACGGTTCTACACCAGCCGACAAGTTCATTTGTGATGGCCCCCCCCCCCCCCCAAATCGTCTATACTGAGCTAGCTAGTGAGCCAGCTGAACCTGAGAGATAGGAAATTCGGTATTCAAAATACCGGGTGTCCCGGCTCTTACATGCCAGTATGGTGGGTTGCATAAGCACCGGCTCACAGGCGCTGTCAGGAACGCGCAGCCCCCGCCCCGCTGCAGGGTTTCGCGCATCCCACGCGGTTCCGTGGGGAAGGGGGGCTCGGGTGATTGTCCGACCTATTTTTCTCCGACTCCGACCTGGTGGGGGGAGTTGGGCTTGAGCATTTACGGCGCCGAGCGGACTTTTGCCTGTTATATCGGCGAGGTCGGAGAAAATCAGATCGGACAAGACCTCGGTCAGACGGTACTTTTTGGGATTTTGGAAAAATCACCAGGTCAGAGAAAAATAGGTCGGACAATCTAGATGAACCGGTACTATTTAGATGATATGTCGTGACGTTTTCAGACCAGTGATTGATAAAAGACAACACAAAATTGTTTATAAATAAATAAATAGATTTATTTTTTATAAGAACAGTAAAATAAACAATGACTTTTATTTATCACCAGGTGGACGCTTGGCAATGTAGCTGGCAATGGCGGGAGTAGATTCCACTTTCCTAACCAACTCTTGCAGCAGAGGATAACCCTCCAAAAAGTCCCTTTTGTTGATGTACTTGAACCATTTCAGAGGCGCAACAAAGAAGACATCTGCCCATGTAAGCTGGAAATTAAATGTAATGTATGTACATGCA